TGGTACTAATTTCAAGTCATCACCTTATCTCGTGCTTTAAAAGAACGAGTGTCAGCACGCTTGTATAATGTTGCTTCATTGCTAGCTTGGGCTGAAACTAGGTTTCGAAGCTAGATCTCTAGCTGTCAAATGTTGCTGCTTTAATGAAGGTGAACGTGCTCAAAATGATGGATTTGATTTTCCTGTCTCCACACGGTCTTTCAAACAACTGGAGAGGACCACGCACTTGGAGTCTGAATATTAAATTTAAACGGACCTAAAACCGAGGACTTTCTTTGCTCACTTTTTCATCTCATAGCGAACAGAAGGAAAAGGTTATACCCTTCCAAGTCTCTAGAAAAAATGTTCACTATAAGCTTCATCATGGACTTCAGAGTCTGATGAAATATCTCTAGAGCCACTTGTGACTGTGGATGATATAATAGTGGTTGAAGTCTAGACTTTTATTCCTAGTGAGGATATGCTTCTCGAAGATATTAGAAAGTGAATTAGATCCCTATCTGATTGTATTCTCTCGTGGCAATCCAACCTGGGAGAAAAATTCATCAGCGCTATCACAATGCACGGCATTAATTTTTCTCATAGAATAGCTTCGGGGGTTAGAGTGTTTGCAGCGGTCCATAATAAGTAAATAAGTATTGGTTTCCTTAGTTTGGTTCTAGGCAAATGGACCAACACACATCAATAATATGATGTGAGATTGGTTCACCATCTCGGTAGATAGGAATGAGAGAGCGAAGCGTGCGAAGGTAGTGTGCGCTGGCCTTGCCTGTCACTTGACACACGTGGCAACGTCGCACAGATCAGCTACTGTTTCTTCATCTTTGGCCATGTAAATTGTTTTGCCGTTTACCGGGTGTCTTCTTGACACCCAAATGTCTCCTTGGGACTATTGTGAGCAAAATCAATGGCTTGTTACACGAAATGTATACTGGAATCACTACGAAATGCTTGACTGTGTGGAAACACTTTCAGCTGACAATTACATGTATTTTTCTCCTCAGTACACCGTTACTATAATAGTAACATTTATCGAGATCCTTTGGCAACTTCACTTCAGTAACTGCTATATCTTTCAGTCTTTCCAGTGACTGATCAAACAAACTTGATCCTTGATTAAATCTCATGAGTAAGAAATTTAACGTCAGTTGGTGTCTTGACAGGTTGTATGAACGGGGGGATTCAGTGTTAATGATCCTGGGCGCACAGAGGTCACTAAACAAAATATTACAACCCCAAATCATTGTCATCCACTATACTCAACAGGAGACAAGTGATGGTTGTTGAATCTTTGACATAGCTCTTGTAATTGCGGCTTGAGTGGAAATAAATAGGTTTCTCTCTACAAGCTTCAATGGCATAATTATTCATCGTGTTATTTTCAATCACAGTGGTTCTTTACATATTCCAGCATGAAGGATATCGTTCCCTTTCAACAGTCACTGACTGATGGGAACTACACACTGGAATATACAACGAAATATAACCAGTATAATAAGATTGTTTGAATAAAAACTTTGGCAGAGGCACTTTTATAACAGCCCAACCATTAGGTTCTAACTACTCTATCTTACAATAAGGTATCATCAGTTAGGGGCAGTACATCTTCTCCTTAATAAGGTGAGATAAACTATGCAGTGTCTCTGAAAAGTAATTATCTCAGTTAGATGTGATTCGTCTAATCCTATTCTGCTCTTGAAAAGTATAAGGACTCATCGCTGAACGAATCTTTTTGTCAGATACACTTTCTGAGCTAGTCATCTATCCTGAGGTAACATTATCTAAAACAGTAGGATCAGGGTTTACTGGATATTGGTGCCTTGTTGCTCGGAAGAGGATAACGAATTGAGTGGGGGCGCCAGCCGCACAACTGCTTCTCGTATCTCTTTCTAATTTATAGCAATACAGTGGACCCCCGGTTAACGAACTTTTTTCATTCCAGTAGTATGTTCAGGTGCCAGTACTGACCGAATTTTTCCCATAAGGAATATTGTGAGTTGATTAGCCATTTTAGACCCCCAAAAATACACGTACAAACGCACTTACATAATTGGTCGCATTCGGAGGTAATCGTTATGCGGGGGTCCACTGTACTCTCTAGCATGTCTTTTCCTGTTACAATAGGTACATTTAACTTTCTTCTTCTCGATACCAGATTTCTGTCTAGCCACAGAGACAGATTCAGGTTGTGAGTTTTCCTGGTGAAGGTACGAGAAGTTACAGTAGCAGGTACATCAGGCCGGCAATGAGCAGCTGATTTAGGTTGCCAACTTCTAGGACAATTTTTAGTTACCTTGTTTCTTTGTGTTTTTCAGTATGTACTTGTTTGTGTGAGAAATCTCGTATTTGTTATACTAATGCTGCAGTTTTCCAGAATCATCTGGAAGGTAGTTTGATCGATCAGATTTTCTTGTTATGCAGCAGGCTACAGTTGTTAAACTCTTCAATGTTAGTAAAACGAACAAAGACTGTCGTAGTTGTTACATTAACTGCTCTACTCCACCTTGAAATGCAATTTTTTCTCACGAGCAAAACTATAACAAGTTTGATCTTGTCGTCGTTGTAACGTACGAAAATGCTCTTTGATAACTTACAGGTAACAAGTTATATGTCTCTAGAATTAGTTTGTTTGACAGATCTAGCTAATGTTCTTGGTAAATGGCCCAAAGCTGCGTACTGGTTTTGAGCTCTTCCCGCTCAAAGCAGTATGCAACAATGTTGTTCCCAGTGCTTACGTGGCCAATTCATAGCGTGCCTGGTCTCATACACATTTCCCCCAAATGTGTGTCTAAGTTCTTTCAAAAAAACTTAGGGACCATGGATGGCAGCTTTATGCACATTAAATGTGTCCTGTGATCTATCAGTCTGTTTGTCTTAACGACGAACATTTTCTCTTTGGAAATCTTCTTCGTTTTCAATTCCTCTGTGCCTCGTATTTGTGCAGTTCTGCAAAAATGAGGCATTCAAACCTCTCTCAAACTGTTCCTGAGAGATAGGACCAGTAGGTAGATGGAGGAAGTAGGGAAATTAACATGGTCTGGACGGTCCTTAGGTCGGACACTTCGTCCAGCCGTTCTAATAGATTGAGAGTTCTAGATCTGGTCTAGGATAAGTAAATACAGAGTAGCATACACTGTTAGCGTGTGATTAGTCATACAGTATACTCTGTACTAAAGTGTCAGTGAGGGAAGCAGTGAGCGAGAACTGGGCTTACACTAGCTCGACACTAGCTCACTTCTGCCCTAGTTCGCTCTTTCATCAACTCTCAAATAAAGCCATATTCCTAATTGTTTGACACTAGGCTTTCTGAATCTGAATCATAATTCAGACATCTCTGTATGTGCAGGAAAACATATATCTTTAATTAATGCTCTGACAGTTTCAGCTGTGTAATTCCTGTTATACGTCACACCGAGATACTTGGTACTTGCCAACACGTCTGAAGTTTTAATGTACTTACTCAGACAAAGTCAGGAGTATCCATTAACTGTTTCAACTTTGGCATATCACAAAAATAAATTGTACTAACGAGAGGAGTGTATTATGGGCGATACTATAATCCTGATGGAATTTTAGTGTTAGTTGTCTTTAGTGTTAGTAACTCATAAACAGTTTTTCCATCTCCTTGGATCAAGAGACTCAGTCAAGTACATACATCACATGGATGTTGTACAAGACGAAACTCAAGTTCTTCAGATTAGGGGAAAATATACTCAGTGTTTGATCAAGAAGTACTAGTATGTCAAACTGGACAATTTCTCCAACACCTTTTGGATCAGAGCCTCCCGGACAGGCCCCCTTTTGTTACAAAAAACGCGATTCTAAAAGCTTAGAGATCTCCAGTGAATACTTGAAAGGACTGCCCTTCTTGCATCCTGCCTGTTACTGGGTTTTCGTAACAAGTAGTAAGTATCCTTGTCCAATTATCCATTAAATTGAGTATTATTCAATAGTGCTTCAGGATTACAACTGGTAGGCATACTAACTAAGAAATTAAAATTTAATAAATTTATTAAGTCTAGAGTTATATTATCAAATTTAAATTAAATAATCACGTAATGAAAATAATATCAAATTCTCGAGTTCAATATTATTGTGCTGAAAGCACATATCACATTTATAATTCTTAAGTACCTCTGGTACATTAACATTTTAATAAGATATTACAAAATATGTACAAGTAAGTTGTGTATGGTGTAAATTGCTCTAAGTAGTTCGCTATGTCTCCACGACTCGACTAGACTTAAACAAGTGACTGACAAAGTCCTCTAATAAACTAACTTCTTGACCGACGGGGCAACCAGAACAGTCTGCTTGAACAATGAAAAGAAGCTAAGCCCAATAGCCATATAACAAGCGACTGTGACACAATCGGGATCAAGGAGATAATATAACGACACTAAGTAGGGACCATCAGAAAGATCCACAAAAGAACAAAACTCCCATACTACTGAATCTAAGTTCAGCATAGAAAAACCCTGACTGTGACAATACACGAAACCAGTACAAAATTTGGTCAGAAGCTATAGCTAAGGACCTGAGATGTTCAGAGTGTCTAAGCGAACACAACCTCAGTACAAACGTCGAAAATGACGAAGTCTATACAATGTTCTGTGAACAGAGTTCTACAGAACTAGCAAGAATAATGAGACAGACAATCTGTCCAACCACCAAGCGAGTCTAGAGCAGACTGAATACTTCAAGGGGTGGAAGACACCCCCCCTCGATCACGTGATAGCCCCGTGGACAGCACAGCTCAGAAGCCAGCAGTATAACGAGCGACAAGCGATAATTACAGTAGTTTGACAATCAAGACTTGAACTGAGCACATATTATGTACATCCTAACAACATAAGTCAAATAACAATATAACAGTCAAATAATAATATAAAGTCATACATTTACGATTTAGCTATTATCGCAAATATAAGCAATATAACATTATATGAAAAGATAATATACATTATATATATACATAATAATCATTGTAACCCATTCAGGGGTTGCAACACCAGGGTAGACAACTTGTGAGGCTGAGGTACCCACCTCAGAGCTAGGTGTCAACACAGCTTGCCAGGGTAGACAACACAGCTTGCCAGGGTAGACAACTCACATGGAGGCAGTCCAGACAAATTTTCTCACAAGTGATTCAAGGTAAGTTTGATTAGCAATGCTTTGATCCAATGACCTGGAGCTACATTGCCATCCCTCGGATCAAACCTGGTATTATATTTCCCAGGTGCCATATGACCCCTAAGGGTTTAGCACTTCATCGTAAATATAAAATAATTGTGTTGTCAGTTTTTTCAACTATTAAGGTACTCTTAACAACGTCATTTTAATAAAACATGACATGGTTACGATTAACCATCATTTAAACCAAAAAATGTTCAATATTAGGTTCAATTAGTCATGAACACTGGTTTATATTATGCAGATTTAATGGAAATAAGTCACTTTGATTTTTTGGGTTATCCTGGGTAATATACACATGTTACTATATATAATAATTGTCCTTGCGTGTACCTGTATCTAAATAAATGTATCTAACCTAGTGTAACCTTACTTCGCCAGGGGTAGCTGTAGCACTAATTCGCCTTTCTTTACATACAATTAATCTCTTTATGTTCGCTGTGGTGGGCCAGGAGCTGCAATATTAATCGTTGATTGGCCCTGGTATGATGCACCTCTTAAGACTAAATATATTTTTAATATTTTCCAAAATAACAATTTAACTAAGAAAAAAATTGTGCCGGGGTGTAGACGGCAGGTGATGTCAGTGGTACAGTTGGTGTTAATGGTACAGGTGGTAAGAAGACATTAAACTACAAGAAGCCTTTATTGGTACATCATTCCTTCCACTAGGGTCTTCAAGTACAATAGAGTATAATACAGTACCTAGAAAGCATGAGAACAATGATCAGTGTTTGAGGTCAGGAAATTCAGCCGTAGGAGGCAGATGTATTTCTTTCTGCATATATGTATACTGTATATATATTCACCTAGGAGTTTACTTCAATCCGTGTTTTAGGGATTAAAGTACGTATTTTTGCTAGGTGGTGATAAAGTTATGTCCAACTTTGATGATCCTAGTGTAGTCAAATGGCTTTCAACCCCATTAACCATTATGTTTTAAGTTGAGTGTGGCCAAGGTGAATGTCACTGTTCTGAGTAATGGTATTGGATAGTTTGATGATTGAGGACTCCAGGCATATAAATTTAATTTTGTCATTTTTAACCCTCTTGGAAGATTGCTGCTGTATAGTCCTTGTGGCTTAGCGCTTCTTTTTGATTATAATAATAATTGGAAGATTGCTGTCTACCAATGTTACTTTTACTTTCAGATGAGTGTGGTGTTGGTGTTGGGTTCCGGTGGTAGCTGCTGCCCTGGCTGCCTCTCCTGCAGTGTCATCTGTCCTCAATGCCCCGGGTAATGCTGGCACTTAAACCACTCCCAATGTCACCAACATTTCCCTCAACATCAAGGATCACCAAGTAAGGCATATAAAATTTGAACATTGCTAATGTACAGATGCATTGTTAAGTGTTTATATTGTGGAATGTGGTAATTTTGGTGACCACTATTATGGGACTGTGATAGATATGTTACTGTATTGTGCATAAATTTGTATTGGGTTTTCCTGTTGGTGTATGCAATGATTGTAGTCAGTGTAGTGGTCATAGGGCCAGAGGACCCTCTGGCAGATGGTCTGGCCAACACACTTACTGCTGCAGGAATTAAGGTTAGGCTTAAGTTTATGAAGCTAAATACTAAGCAAATTCTTTATAATCCATTGTATGCTATTTAAACTGATTAAAATATTCATTTAACTTTATTTAGTAACTGCCAGAATACATGTATACCTGGAGTTTACCTGGAGAGAGTTCCATGGGTCAATGCCCCAGCGGCCCGGTCTGTGACCAGGCCTCCTGGTGGATCAGAGCCTGATCAACCAGGCTGTTGCTGCTGGCTGCACGCAAACCAACGTACGAGCCACAGCCCGGCTGGTCAGGAACCGACTTTAGGTGCTTGTCCCATGCGAGCTTGAAGACTGCCAGGGGTCTGTTGGTAATCCCCCTTATGTATGCTGGGAGGCAGTTGAACAGTCTCGGGCCCCTGACACTTATTGTATGGTCTCTTAACGTGCTAGTGACACCCCTGCTTTTCATTGAGGGGATGTTGCATCATCTGCCAAGTCTTTTGCTTTCGTAGTGAGTGATTTTCGTGTGCAAGTTCGGTACTAGTCCCTCTAGGATTTTCCAGGTGTATATAATCATGTATCTCTCCCACCTGCATTCCAGGGAATACAGTTTTAGGAACCTCAAGCGCTCCCAGTAATTGAAGTGTTTTATCTCCGTTATGCGTGCCGTGAAGGTTCTCTGTACATTTTCTAGGTCAGCAATTTCACCTGCCTTGAAAGGTGCTGTTAGTGTGCAGCAATATTCCAGCCTAGATAGAACAAGTGACCTGAAGAGTGTCATCATGGGCTTGGCCTCCCTAGTTTTGAAGGTTCTCATTATCCATCCTGTCATTTTTCTAGCAGATGCGATTGATACAATGTTATGGTCCTTGAAGGTGAGATCCTCCGACATGATCACTCCCAGGTCTTTGACGTTGGTGTTTCACTCTATTTTGTGGCCAGAATTTGTTTTGTACTCTGAAGAAGATTTAATTTCCTCGTGTTTACCATATCTGAGTAATTGAAATTTCTCATCGTTGAACTTCATATTGTTTTCTGCAGCCCACTGAAAGATTTGGTTGATGTCCGCCTGGAGCCTTGCAGTGTCTGCAATGGAAGACACTGTTATGCAGATTCGGGTGTCATCTGCAAAGGAAGACACGGTGCTGTGGCTGACATCCTTGTCTATGTCGGATATGAGGATGAGGAACAAGATGGGAGCGAGTACTGTGCCTTGTGGAACAGAGCTTTTCACCGTAGCTGCCTCGGACTTTACTCTGTTGACGACTACTCTCTGTGTTCTGTTAGTGAGGAAATTATAGATCCATCGACCGACTTTTCCTGTTATTCCTTTAGCACGCATTTTGTGCGCTATTACACAATGGTCACACTTGTCGAAGGCTTTTGCAAAGTCTGTATATATTACATCTGCATTCTTTTTGTCTTCTAGTGCATTTAGGACCTTGCTGTAGTGATCCAATAGTTGAGACAGACAGGAGCGACCTGTTCTAAACCCATGTTGCCCTGGGTTGTGTAACTGATGGGTTTCTAGATGGGTGGTGATCTTGCTTCTTAGGACCCTTTCAAAGATTTTTATGATATGGGATGTTAGTACTATCGGTCTGTAGTTCTTTGCTGTTGCTTTACTGCCCCCTTTGTGGAGTGGGGCTATGTCTGTTGTTTTTAGTAACTGTGGGAGGTAGTGTAGCCTGATAAAGAAAATGATTTCACTATCACTTAGTCACTGTCTTGCCAGAAAGGCACCAACATCACAGTTCAGATGACCCTCCAAACTGCAACATCCCCATCCCTTCTTCAGAATGCAGGCACTGTACTTCCTACCTCCAGGATTCCAACTAACCGGTTTTTCTTGAATCCCTTCATAAAAACCACTTTCATCCACTCCTATCTACACACAAGCACCTTGCACTCAAAACCTCCTTTCCCCTCCCCTCCCTCAGACATTTCCTAGGACAACCTCCTTCCCTGTACTCCATATTTATTCACCCTCCTTGTCATCCTATTTTTTCATCCTCAGGCTTCTAAATAATACTTTTGGTAACTTTACACCTCTTCCTAATCTCCCAACTCCGTATAATCTGCATAATATTAGCACCACGCATTGCTCTTAAATACGACATCTCTACTGCCATTTAAGCATTGTACTTCTGCATATAAAAAATGGTGAAATATCCTTAGCCTCATTTTTGTGGCAAACTTCTTGAGCCAGGCACCCTTCACATGACACTATTTTCATTTTAAGTCTATTTATGTAACATTTGAGAGAGTTGTAAAGAAGACATGAAAGAGCTATTGAGAAGTAGGTGCTTAACAATCCAGTAGGCACATGTGAGGCTCAAATTGGAGCATGGAGGGAAGTCATCCATGTGATGACTGTTGGGGTACTACATGAGCAAGGTAATAAATAATGTTAACTTTGAAGGGACACAGAAAAATTGACTTTTCTAGCTTTAGGTTTTGAAGTTTAGGAAACAGTGTCTGCCCTTTGAAAGAGGGATGGGAATATTCCCATTTGGTAGATCACATTGCGGCACATTATCTTTGCTCCTCCTCTGGAAATGCAGTGATAATAGACAGATCCAGCTGGCTTACTATTGACAGTTGTGAGGAGGAGACAAGTTTGCAGAATAGGTTTGTATTGAAACATTTTGTTTATTTAAGATCTTGATTGTTGTAGAGGATATAAAGCACACACATACAGTACATACTGTATGTACACATACAGTATGTACTGTACTCCTAGTAAGAGAGGAAGAGTTGAGTGTGATTATAGAAATCTGAAGCATTTAACTCTACTTAAATGACAAACCACCAGCACACATTATTTTACAGGAACATTCTTATCAGCATAGTTACACAAGAATGGTGCAAACATGCTAACCAGCAACCAGGCAGCATTCCAATATAATTGTCCAATGTACATCTTGCATAGTTCCACAGACTCGAGATTCTTCAGATTCAAACAATTTTACTCACTCCACCTCTCCTCTCCTTCAGGGAGAGTATACGTGTGTGTGTGCACACATTGTTTCATCTGTTTAATTTAATGGAAACATTGTCCCAATAAAAGCTTGTTTTGGTCTGCTTGCTTTGGTGGGAACAACCAGTGCATTAAAATAGATAAAAAATTTGCAATATGGACTGTCAGTCATCTATTATCATTACATTTTTTATTTGTTTATACCCTGACAGTTTTATGTGAAATATGTTTATTGTATGTTAATAGGTATTTGGACCAACGAAAGCAGCAGCCCAGGTTGAAGCCAGCAAAGCCTGGGCTGAAGATTTTATGGTGCATCAAGGAGTGCCAACAGCCAGCTATTCAACATTCACTGATCCTCAGCAAGCTAAAGACTTTATAAAGAAGTGAGAACTGTGAACCTTTACATGGAAACAGTCAAATGCATATAGTATACTGCTGCATACTGAAGATACCATGATAGCGGTAAGACATTAATTTCTCAGTAGTAGTAACCAGTTACCAGTAACCAGTGTACCGTTGACTCAACGACCAACCGTCTCTGCCTGAGTCACTATCTGAACTCATATTGCGCTGACCTGGCATTATTCAAAGACCCCCTCACATATGGGTACTGTGGGCGGCCAGTCAGTCAGTGTTAAGAGAGCAGAGAGATAGGTACGGCTGTAAGGGCGCACTCCACATTATCTGTAATTATACGTACTACCAGCCTACGTGAGTATTTCTTTACCTAATCCACGTGTCGAACTCCCACATGATAAATTTGTTTAAAATTTCCAGAGGATCTTGGTCAGGGTATGTGGTGAAAGCCTCAGGATTGGTAGCTGGGAAAGGTGTAGTGGTTGCAGAATCTCCTGCGTCTGCTATGGAAGCTGTAGACTTCTTCCTTCAACAAACCGGCCGTATCCCACCAAAGCAGGTGGCCCAAAAAGAAAAACAAAAGTTTCTCTTTTCAAATTTAGTAATTTATACAGGAGAAGGGGTTGGAAGCTGTAGACACTATCAGTAAATGCTTTGGCACTGCTGGAGACAATAATTGTAGAGGAGCTGCTACAAGGAGAAGAGGTTTCTATAAGTGTCTGAAATGATTTTCTCACACACTTGATTGGAGGTGATTGAATATTGTTTTATGAATGATAGTATAGGTAGTAGGTTGGTAGACAGCAACCACCCAGGGAAGTACTACCGTCCTGCTAGATAACAGGGATATCTTGCTACTCCTACTTACACTTTGGTCACACTTCACAGACACACACATGCATATATATATATACATACATCTAGGTTTTTCTCCTTTTTCTAAATAGCTCTTGTTCTTCTTTATTTCTTCTATTGTCCATGGGAAAGTGGAAAAGAATCCTTCCTCCATAAGCCGTGCGTGTCGTATGAGGCGGCTAAAATGCCGGGAGCAATGGGCTAGTAACCCCTTCTCCTGTAAACATTTACTAAAAAAAGAGAAGAAAAACTACAAAACTGGGATGCTTGAATGTGCGTGGATGTAGTGCGGATGACATGAAACAGACGATTGCTGATGTTATGAATGAAAAGAAGTTGGATGCCCTGGCCCTAAGCGAAACAAAGCTGAAGGGGGTAGGGGAGTTTCGGTGGGGGGAAATAAATGGGATTAAATCTGGAGTATCTGAGAGAGTTAGAGCTAAGGAAGGGGTAGCAGTAATGTTGAGGGATCATTTATGGAAGAAGAAAAGAGAATATGAATGTGTAAATTCAAGGATTATGTGGATTAAAGTAAAGGCTGGATGTGAAAAGTGGGTCATAATAAGCATGTATGCACCTGGAGAAGAGAGGAATGTAGAGGAGAGAGAGATTTTGGGAGATGTTAAGTGAATGTATAGGAACCTTTGAATTAAGTGAGAGAGTAATTGTGGTAGGGGACCTGAATGCTAGAGTAGGAGAAGCTTTTAGAGAGGGTGTGGTAGGTAAGTTTGGGGTGCCAGGTGTAAATGATAATGGGAGCCCTTTGAACTTTGTATAGAAAGGGGTTTAGTTATAGGTAATACATATTTTAAGAAAAAGAGGATAAATAAGTATACAAGATATGATGTAGGGCAAAATGACAGTAGTTTGTTGCATTATGTATTAGTAGGTAAAAGACTGTTGAGTAGGCTTCAGGATGTACATGTTTATAGAGGGGCCACAGATATATCAGATCACTTTTTAGTTGTAGCTACACTGAGAGTAAAAGGTAGATGGGATACAAGGAGAATAGAAGCATCAGGGAAGAGAGAGGTGAATGTTTATAAACTAAAAGAGGAGGCAGTTAGGGTAAGATATAAACAGCTATTGGAGGATAGATGGGCTAATGAGAGCATAGGCAATGGGGTTGAAGAGGTATGAGGTAGGTTTAAAAATGTAGTGTTAATGTTCAGCATAAGTTTGTGGTTACAGGAAAGTGGGTGCGGGAGGGAAGAGCAGCGATTGGTGGAATGATGATGTAAAGAGAGTAGTAAGGGAGAAAAAGTTAGCATATGAGAAGTTTTTACAAAGTAGATGTGATGCAAGGAGGGAAGAGTATATGGAGGAAAAAAGAGAGGTTAAGAGAGCGGTGAAGCAGTGTAAAAAGAGAGCAAATGAGAGAGTGGGTGAGATGTTATCAACAAATTTTGTTGAAAATAAGAAAGAGTTTTGGAGTGAGATTAACAAGTTGAGGAAGCCTAGAGAACAAATGGATTTGTCAGTTAAAAATAGGAGAGGAGAGTTATTAAATGGAGAGCTACAAGTATTGGGAAGATGGAGGGAATATTTTGAGGAATTGTTAAATGTTGATGAAGATAGGGAAGCTGTGATTTCATGTATAGGGCAAGGAGGAATAACATCTTGTAGGAGCGAGGAAGAGTCAGTTGTGAATGTGGGGGAAGTTCGTGAGGCAGTAGGTAAAATGAAAGGGGTAAGGCAACTGTGATTGATGGGATAAAGATAGAAATGTTAAAAGCAGGTGGGGATATAGTTTTGGAGTGGTTGGTGCTATTATTTAATAAATGTATGGAAGAGGGTAAGGTACCTAGGGATTGGCAGAGAGCATGCATAGTTCCTTTGTATAAAGGCAAAGGGGACAAAAGAGAGTGCAAAAATTATAGGGGGATAAGTCTGTCGAGTATACCTGGTAAAGTGTATGGTAGAGTTATTATTGAAAGAATTAATTCTCATAAGATACTCAGATGTCATCTTTGATGTATATTTGAACCTTGATACTTCATTTTATTTGTATACAAAAGTCCCCCTGTATCCGTGAGTGATATATTCCAAGATTTTTCATGAATACCCGAAACCGCGGATAGTAGCCAACCCTATATACAGTAGACTGTTATAGTACACAGTAGTTACATTCCTGATAATACCGTGTAAGGTAAATCCGTGTTAGATAAACTGAAGAACTTATGGATGGAGAAAATAAAGTTACATTCCTGGGAGCCCAAAAAAAGCTAAACAACTTTTTTTTTAGACCTCCAGGTCTTACAAAAATAAAAGTGAATATGTAATTGTAGTTCACTGTCATTATGTATTATGTTGTTTTTACTGCTTAAGACTACAAATTCAACAGAAATAATAGTATTTCTTGCCTTAAATTATGGGTGCTGGTGTTTGTGGATGATTGTGAAGAGAGTGGAGAGTTATGTTGTGGTCCTACTGGGCTGAGGTGGATGGTAAAGGTTCTGGTACTGAAGTCAATGGTTGTACTGGAGTATGCATAAATTCTGTAATGGATTTCTGGGCTATTTTACCGTGCAGTACATTATACAGCTAATGGTAAGGTATCAGCTGCTCTAGAGACAATTTCAGAGCACTGCTTCTAGATTTGTCAGGGTCCTCTTCAGTGAAAAAGTGTAACTGTAAGTCAGTCAGTTAAGTAAGTCAGTAAAGTCAGTCAAATAAGTCAGTCAGTCAGTCAGTTATTCATCACAAGCTCATACATTTACCTCATTCTTTTTAATTGTACAAACTGATGCTTCATCTCCATTTTCTTCGTTAACTCTAAGACTAAAATGCTTGTATCTTTTCTTGCCACTTTCAGTAACACTCGTATACCTACTGGGTGCCATGATTGCTTGGCAGATACAAGATATGGCAATTAAAAGATCAAAGCACAATTCACAAACAGGACTAGCTCCTAGGAGACAATTATACTGGACATGTATTCACGAAGGCTGGGATGGGGGTGGCAGGAGTGTCGGGGGTGGCAGGGAATGGCGGTAGGTCTCCTCGCTGGCACAATGGTCTGACCCACAACAAGGCTGCAGCCTGAGCTGGGAAAATTTTTTCTGTGCCCACAAATGGAACCACATTAAGTTAATTTTACGAAATGTTATATAAAACTGTGCTGCAATTTTTCAGTAGTGCAATAACTAAAATGTGGCAAATAAATCCATGTAATATAACGGTCTACTGTATGTCATTTTTTGTTTACATACATACCCATGATGAAGTTTAACTGATAAATTACTCACAATAAGTTGAGAATTAGCACTTTTTCACTGATGGGAAGCACTTAATGGCTTCTCTTAGGCTTTCAAGAAGGACCACCATCACTACTGTTGTGCTTTGTAGCCATTATTAAGCAAAGTTGAGGGTTATTTTCAGGCTACGGTAAACTCTGGAAACCAAATCCGTGGATACGGGGGTCATACTGTACACAGTAGTATTTATTACGTATACTAGCATTTTTTTAATAATTTATGTTAAGTGCTAAACCCATGTGGGTCATTCAGCGTGAGACATGGTGGAGGCTTGATCCTCCATCTGCTGAGCACCAGACAAACGCTCTTCCTATCTGTACTCATCTACGTGTCCTTCTAGCACTGTAATTTTAAAATGATAAACATTTTCATTTCTTGACATCTACTGATATAAACTATAATTATTATTGATTTATAACAAAAATTAAATGAAATATAATTATAAATAATTTGTTAACCTCACATTTTGATGCTGTTATTATTATATACATAATAAAGCTCTTAAACCCAATTGGTAATAGAGGTAATCAGGTTTGATGCAAGGGGAGGGTAGCTCCAGTTCCTTGGATCAAGATATCTTCAGCATTCAGACATCTTAAGGCCTGTATAAGACAAAGAAGTCTAAGACTAGTCAGTCATACAGCCCAGTACCTCTCTAATGTTATTAATAACAAATTATTGAAGTGATAACACTATGTTATTAATAACAAGTTACTTGAGTAATAATGGTGTTATTAATAACAAGTTACTTGAGTAATAACAATGGTGTTATTAATAACAGGTTACTTGAGTAATAACAATGGTGTTATTAATAACAAGTTACTTGAGTAATAACAATGGTGTTATTAATAACAAGTTACTTGAGTAATAACAATGGTGTTATTAATAACAAGTTACTTGAGTAATAACAATGGTGTTATTAATAACAAGTTACTGAGTAATAACAATGGTGTTATTAATAACAAGTTACTTGAGTAATAACAATGGTGTTATTAATAACAAGTTACTTGAGTAATAACAATGGTGTTATTAATAACAAGTTACTTGAGTAATAACAATGGTGTTATTCAGTAATAAGGTTTAATCTGATCACAACATTTTTAAGCAATATGTCACTACAAAATATAAATTTTTACCAGATAATGAAAATTGTTGTGAGAGAGAGAGAGAGAGAGTGTTGGAGCCAGGTGCTGTACACTCACCTCTTATAAATTATTATTATTACTACCTGTAGGGGTCATACAGCACCTGGGAAAATTGGAGGCATTTAGCTTTGATCCGATCAAATTCCTTG